AGCATGTAAAATCTAAAGAAGTTTGTTCGCCTACTATAATTATGTTCCATTGCTGTAGCATAACATACTTTGTTGTATACATTTTTTTGCATACGGGTAACTTTGAATAACGTTCAAAGTAACTTCACTACATAAATAGTCAGAAACATGAAACAATTTTAAAATTTCCTTTGTCATGTATTGTATATAATATATTAAGTATTGTACACAATATTATTAGGATTAAAAATTAAAATATCATGTGTATAAACAGTAGGTCACACATACACACATAATTTGTGTGTGTGTTTATGTGTGTGTGTTTTTATGAATGTGTGTGTCTTTGTGCAAAGACTTGTACAAAAATACACATACATTCAATTGTGTGTATGTATGTATATGTGTGTGTGTCTTTGTGTGTATGTGTGTATATGTGTGTGTGTCTTTGTGTGTATGTGTGTATATGTGTGTGTCTTTGTGTGTATGTGTATATATGTGTGTGTATACATTGTTTATATATATATATATATATATATATATATATATATATATATATATATATATATATATATATATATATATATATATATATATATATATATATATATATATCGCCGTGGATAGCCTACCGAGAGTCGGTAGCGGAAAAATAAAAATTATCTTATCGAAAGTTTTTTATTGGTTGAGAATATCACATGTCAAAATAAAAGATATTTATTATACCGTAAAATGAAGAAAATTTAACATATTATTTTTAAAAAACAAAAACGTAAAAAATGTGAAAAATTAAATAGGATTTTCCATTAAATAAATAGAAATGACTGCCACCCCATACCAAAACCCTCAGTCAATGCATGTACACTCCACAGCGCCTATCCCTATATTAGTAAACGTATGTACACTTCACTGCGCCTATCCCTAAGCTAGTAAATGTATGTACACTTTATTGCGCCTATTCCTAAATTAGTAAATGCATGTACATTCCTCGGTGCCTATTCCTAAATTAGTCAGTGTATGAACACTCCATTGTGTCTATTAATGCATTGTGCTATTCCCAGCGTATATAATAATTTACTCAATTAATAAGCGTAATAAAACCTAAAAAACATAAAAAAAAATCAAAATGTAAAATATGTTCCTTAGGAAGGACTCGAACCCGAAGCGAATATTTATTTAGCTATTTTATTGTGACACCAATAAAAAAATCACTTTCGGTAGGATAATTTTTATTTTTCCGCTACCGACTGTCGGTAGGCTATCCAGTGCGTATATATATATATATATATATATATATATATATATATATATATATATATATATATATATATATATATATATATATATATATATATATATATATATATATATATGTGTGTGTGTGTGTGTGTGTGTGTGTGTTTGAGTGTTTGTATATTTATGTATATATATATATATATATATATATATATATATGCATATATATATATATATATCTTATATATATCTTTTATATATATATATATATATATATATATATATATATATATATATATATATATATATATATATATATATATATATATATATATATATAAGCATTATTAGATAAAAAACTTATTAAACGTTCATTGGGTGCAAGTTGTCACTTTGTATAATAAAGTTTAAAAACTTAGTCCGAAAACACATGGTAAGTCCAAACTTTTTACAAATACACAACATGTTATGTTACGTCAATTGTGTTTAGTGTTTCTGGTCAAGTGCCTGTGGTTATGTTTATAAAGCTGACCATTTATGCCCAACAAGAACCGAAGTCGACCACCTAAAATATATTCAATCAAAAATACAATCAAAGCCAGGACAGTTTGATTCTATTCACTTTTTTGACTGGTTTGTTATTGTTTTTTGTCAAATTGTAGGAGCATTCCTATTAGTTAAATCAAATTAATTTTTACAGTGAAAATGTACTTGAATTTACTAAAGAAAATAGTATCTTGTTGAGAAAGAAACAGTGTCTTGTTCTATAACTGGTAACTTTACCCATTTATTGCAATCTCTTAATGTTGCATTTTATTGATCTCTTAAAAAATATTGTAAGAAAATACTTGATCAATTGGAAACCTTTTGTTTAAAAAATGCACAGACTATTACAAAAAATAAATCTTTTTTGTTCTTTATTTACTTATAATCATTATATTTGTTAAATCAAAAGGTAATCAACAACTTAGTTGCTTAGTGGTTTTGAAAAAAATATTGGAGTTACCCATTAGATATAAGTATCATCTTCAATCGTTGGCCAGAGAGTTACAACTTTAGTTCGCCGAGCAGTCATTAATGTACTTTAACAATTTTTTCATGTTGATGTAAAGGAAAAAGCAGACTCAAAGGGGAAAAAAAATTACTTTTTATAGTGTTAAAAATATTTCTTTTGAGGATTTTTGGCAAAATGTAAAGATGTTCCACTTGCAAAGTCTTTAAGTGAAACTGATGTAAATGAGACTTTTTTTATGCTAGTCCACTTAAAAAATAGCCATTCAAACAAAATAAAATACTAAATGGGTGTTTGTTATGAAAAAATGTTATATTATTTTAGCAATAATAAACTACTGTGAAACTAGAATGTTGTTTTTATTAAATTTTAAAACAAAACAAGGCGTTGTTGAATAGGTTTTGCTTTTACAAAAAACATGTTCAAAGTTACCCCATTTGCGGGGTAACATTGAATGACTATTTAAACTAATATTATACAAAATACTTTTATTTAAATATTATTTTGGATTTGAAATATGTAAGAGTCAATCTTAGCCCCTATATTCACTTTGTTAAATTTCAAATATTATCAATAGTGAAGGAAGAGCAAGTAAAAATATCTCAAAAACATTCAAAGTAACCCCGTTTTACGGTATTTTAAAATAGATAAAAATTTATGAGAAAAATTAATTTATCTAAAATAAATTTCTTATTGTTTAAAAATGGCGATCAAGTAAATCTTGAAACCCCCTCAATTAGAGGTTGTTGTTAACATTACGAGGTCATAAGTTTTAAAAGTTAAAATAGTTTTTTACAAAATGAGAAATTTACAAATGAATTTTAGTTGGGTTTATAATGGTAGAGTTTTTTTTAAGTGTTATCATTGCCTCCGTCCACATGAAATATTTTGACTTTTGGGCCCTAATATGAGGATAATATTGTTCTCAAACTCTGATCACCATGATTATTTTTTTTAAACATATTATTTGTGTTAGTGTGAAAATAAATATCTGAAGGTTGCTTATCTTGAAGGACAAAAAGCTTTGAAATTAAGTTTTAAGTATATATTCAATTGTTTTTCAATTAGAGAATGGTTTACCCATCCAATTAATGTTTACATTTATATCTATTTCCATTTATTATCAATAATAGTTTCTAAAAGAAACACATATATTATAACACTTTTAATTTTAAAGTAAAACTGTTTTAAAGAAGGTATGTCAGGAGTAGTACGTAAAAGTGGTTCTAAGCACTCATCTTTAAGGTTACTAGTAACTTTGTATCCACTCTCCCGAAACTATTTGAAATCATAATGAACAGACTCAGAGGTCTGTTCATAACCAAAACTTAATTCTTTATTTGGATTGGAATTTGACATAAGTGAAATAGATTCACATGTATGCTTGATAAGAGCATGCACTTTTGGTCACACTCGTAGAACAAGTTTAACATAAGCATCTTTGTATTTGTTAATGGTTAACTCATATTTAGGTAAAAAATAAGAACCAAGACATGCAACTTTAATAGATATTAAACATTTAAAAGAATTAACTATAGAAATTATATGTTCATCTCTTTCCAGTTTGGAAGGTTTTATTAATTCTTCTAACGCATAAATATTTTTTAGCAGTTTCGAACATTCTTTATCTTTAAATTGACCATCATGCAGCTTAGGCCTTTGAAAACCTAAGATTTGGTTTCACTGGTTTGCCGATAAAGTGATACCCATAGGTTGCAAATAATTTTCAAGATTCTCATAAATTCTTTTTGTATTTCCACAGAGTAAACGATGTTCCATTGGAGCAAGAGCTTCAACAACTTTTACGTCATTAGCCAGATCAACTAGTGGAAGATTAACGCAAATAATATTAGATGCAGCTGAAAACGCTTTTGAAGAGCTTTTTGATTGTTCAACGCCAATGGGTGTTTTTCAACCCCCCAGGAAAAAAAGTTTTATAGAACTTTCTATAAACTTTTGAAACATTGTTATAAAACATTTTTTCTATGAAAAAAAAGGAAAAAAAAAATTCATAAGGAATTTTTACAGAAGTTAACAGAAGCTCTATAGAAATTCTATAGAATTCTATAGAATTTCTATAGGCCATATGTTTCAAAAGTTTATATAAAATTCTATAAAAATTTTTTTCGTGGGCCTTCAATAATGGATTCGTATAGACTTTTCACTGGGCATATTCATACATGAAATTTTCTGAATGACCATGTTCTAATAAAAAAGAAAATTTCTGAGTTTGTAATTTAAGCGAACTGTGCTGTGATAAGAATATGAACTTTAAACTTTTGTCACATTTTTGTAATTTCATAACAATTTATTTTTATATACAAGAAACTAAACATTTCCTTAGAAAAAACAATTAAAAATAAGTTCTATTTCAACAGACTTACGCAAACTAAAAAGAACCTGCTCTTGGTACAACAAAATAAAAACATATTTTTTTCTCAGTTTTTCAGAAATTTTTTAAATACATTTCTGTTAAACTATGATAAATTAAAAAAAAATCGCATTGATATTATTTATTTATTTTATTTATTTACAAGTTTTATTATATACAGTTGGTATAATCGAGTCTAACGTGTGTTTCAAACCACGCGCGTATGGTAATCAAAATAACCAAACAACCAAACGTTTATACGCTACACATATAAATACTATCGTTAAAAAATGACTTTGATAATGTTTGAAAGTAAGTAGAAAACTCTTTCATTTTAGTTACTTTTCCTTCTCGATACCGAAAAATGAGATTTTGAACTAGCACGAACACTACTAAACGACTTACCGCGAAGTTGATGAACGAATTTTTTTGTTACAACCGTTAAGAGTGTAGACAGCCAAGCGTTTCTGTATTCGGCGTTTGCCGCGCTTAAAAGAAAACTTTGTTTGCCATTTGTAATTCTTATTCCATATTGATACTTTCCTTTCAGGTTTTCTTCTGAAAATATTCCTGTGTCTGAATGAATATCAATTCGATTGTCGGAGCCATCCTCAAAAATTAAATCACCTCGTTGCTTTGTAATAAACAATGTTTCTTTTCGTAGAGTAAAATATTTGCGCTTTACAGTAAATCCACTCGGTCGCCAAAAGCTTTTAATATGCATGTAAAGATAGCCTTCGCATGATATTATGTTGATACCTTCGTGTTCATTCGTTACTTCCACAATCTGTGGACAATCATCATGATTTACACTCATTTTTTAAAAAGTTAATGAGCTTTGATTTTTTTTAGTAAAGTCTGCGTTATACGGAAACATTAAAATACTTGTATTTTTTTTTTATAACAAATTAGTGCTACAAATTTAATACCGTTGTGGTGATGCCTCGTTTAAAATTACGATTTCCTTAAATTGAAGTCATTGCGGTAATCGTAAGGATGTCTTGCAAAATGTTATATTGGTTACCTTGGATACTAATAGTTTTAGCTGAGTAAAATTATTTTTAAAAAAGTTGGTTAGCACTGGTGATATCATACTAGTGATATCACCAGCAATTTTAATTCCCGACAGTATTTGTTTAATATAAAGATTATAGATTTTCATTGAAAGAATACTGCAAATTAAAATGAGCGATTAATTAATATTTATTATACGCGATATTACAGTATCCATATATGCGATACTACAGTATTCATATACTCAAAACTACAGTATTCTTATAAGCGATATTAATGTATTCATATACACGATATTACAGTATTCATTTACGCGATATTGCAGTATTCATTTACGCGATATTACATTAATTATAACGCGATAATTTATCAGTGTATGAAAAAACTTGTAAGATTGAAAAAGTATAAATGTTTATTATAATTATAAATGTTTATTATAATTTAAAAAAAGGATTTTATTTAACAAATTAGTATAAAATGATAAATAATAAAGATTTTATCAACATGCGTTTCATGCATTTAAATATTATTTAAACTACTTTAATATTTGTTATATTTGTAAATATGTTTATATTTAATATATAATTTAGTTTCTTATATTGATTTTATACGTTTACATTTTTGAATTCTAATATTTGTTATATTTGTAATCATGTTTATATTTAACATATAATTTAGTTTCTTATATTGATTTTTTGACGTTTATTGACGTTTACATTTTTTGAATTTTAATATTTGTTATACTTTGTTAGATTTTTTGACGTATATTGACGTTTACATTTTTTGAATTTTAATATTTGTTATATTTGTAAACATGTTTATATTTAATATATAATTTAGTTTCTTATATTGATTTTATACGTTTACATTTTTTGAATTTTTATTGGAGTATTGTATAAATAAATATAATTTAGTTAAATTTATAATTAAATTTGCTTGTCCGAGATAACCAAGCAATTGTCCGAGATAACCAAGCAATTGTCTGAGATAACCAAGCAATTGTCCGAGATAATCAAGCAGTTGTCCGAGATAACCAAGCAACTGATTGTTATTATCTTGAAAAATATCATAAAACATTTTGCAACATGAGAATTGATGCAAATTTAAAACTTGTGAGTTAATTATTTTACAAAAAAATGTACGTGTTACTTTTATGACAAATCTGAATAATTATAAACTTATCACAAAGTGTTACGTATATTTGCTGTCTCATATACGCTACTAAAAATGTATTTTAGTTGTTTTGAAATCTGGTTTTAATGACAACGAAGTATTAATTGCCAATATAATGACAATAGGATATCCTATCATTTTTTGTAAATTTTGTAACTGAACACATTTAAACTGTGTTTTATGTCTTTTAATAATGTGAATACAATTTAATTTTTTTTTTATGAACAATATTAGAAAATTTTCTATTTGAATATTCTATCCTTAAAAAAGGCGCCACATGAAAACTCTGTTTAAGACCCCAATTTAGCATGTGAATCAATGGGCATTAGTCGATACATCTTTTAAATATTTTTCCAGCTGCATCGTTTAACATTAACGTCTTTTCCTGCTCACATTAGCGTAGTTTTATTGCAAAAAAAAAAAAAAAATTAAATAAAGAAGATTAATAAATTTTATTGTTGGTACCGTTAAACAATACATTTATCTAAAACAAATATTCTAACGAAAGTTTAACTGGCATTAAATGGCATACATAGAAAGCAAAAAAGAAATTGAAAATACAATAAAGAAAATATTCTAAACGGAAGAAAATTATTTTCAAGATTATATCGGGAAACCTAGGGAAACGTAGCAATTCAAAAAGATTTTACTTTCAATAGTAAGTGTAACAAATGAATTTTATAATAGAAAAAAAGTAATAAGTTTTAAGAAAATATGTTAAAGACTTGCAAAAATCTCATAAAAAAAGTGTATAATTTACTCAAGATTTATAAAAGGTAATTAAAAAAAACGCAGAATGCTGCAAAAAATAGTAAAAAGAAAATATAAAGAAGAGAAATCTTTAAAATAATTTAGAGAAAAAAAACCAATAAACAAAAAAGAAAATCTTAAAATTGACAATGCAAAAGAAAAAAAAACTTGGAAACAAACTGAAAGCTAAAACCTTTTTTAAACAAGGGCGTTCTATTTGTGCGCATACTAAAATCAAGTTAAAAAAATGCTATGGATAGCATTTTCCGTAATGATTTTCGTTTTCCTCATATATAATGGTGAGTTTACACTCATCCGTTTTTTCACGGGAACGGGAAAAAAAATCACGTGAGCATCCGTATTATAAGTTTTAATTTGTCTACGCATGCTCACGTGATTATTTTTCCCTTTCTTATCCCGTTCCCATAGAAAAACGGATGAGTGGAAACTCACCTTAAATTAATTGAATTTTTTTATAAAAGTGTTAGTTTTTATAAAATACAGTTATTATTATTTCTTTTTATCATTATCATTACTTCTATTTTAGAATATAACGCTACCGTGTCAAGCAGCCTTTCGCTGAGAAGGATTAACTTTTCACTAACTTTATTTTGCTTAGAGCATTAAAGTTTTTTGCTCGTTGTACTTTAACTAATCCCTTGAAATTAGTTTTGGAGCGTGCCTTAATAGAAAAAAGTAACCGTATAATTAACCTATAAATTTAAACTATGCTTTAAGTTAAAGTTGTTGTGAAGACATCATTATTATAAGTTTTGAGATTTTTGCGCTATATCTACGTATAGAAACTTTTGAAATTTTCTTCAGAAATGCAAGGTAAACCTGAATTATTTTTAAATGATTATTTTTAAATGATTTGAAGAGTATGATTTTTTGTGTTACTTCAAATAGTTAACTATGTTAAAAGTGTTTTATTATTATACGGCTTTTTGTTATTTATTACCGGTTTTATCTGGTTTTTCTTGATTATTCAATTTTTTGGATTGTAAAAGTTTTTGTTACGGATATATTAGTTAGTTAACACGATGTTACAAGAAAGAGAACAACTTAGCTAAAACCCTTCTCAATTAATGTGTATAATTAATTAAAGTTGTTTTTTACAAACTATTTGATGTAACACAAATAATGCGTGCTGTGACACGACCTTGTCATAAATGAAACAAAAATGGGCACAACGTAGCTAACATAGGTATTTCAATAAAGCAGTTTAGAACCATAAAAATTACTAAGTGTTGCGGAATATTTGGTTCTACGGCCGAGCGCCAAGCCGAATATTCGGTATTCGGCAAAAACACTATTCATAACATCTTAAGTAATTATACTTTTATAATATACAGTTTTTTGTGGCATAGTTTTTTTATACTATTTATCTTAGAATTCTGTCATGAATCAAATGCTATCTTTTTAATCATTGCATTGTGTCAGCAGGAAATTTAAATATTGCAACTTTTAGCGTTTGTGATGCAAATGCTAAAAGTTGAGGTTAAGTTAGTCTTGAGGTTAAGTTAGTTCAAAACGTCAATAAATAAACGGTCTGATTTTATATTTTAAATACATCATCTAAAATTTAGGAAAATATAGTTTGCCTTTAGAGTCAAAGATTTTAATGGAAAACTAATCCACAAATGAATTGACAAAACCTTTAACAATCATAAGAACTAATAAATTAGAGATTGTGCCAACATTTAATATCAGATCCAAAAAAAAAAAGAAAATGATATGCACTTGGTAAAAGACTCAGAGTTTCTAGGATACCATGCACTAAATTTTAAATAGGTTAGTGAAAAATACTATTATATGCTAGATCCTACAATATTTAAAATTAAACGGAAAAACATTTTATATTAAAAACCAATTTATTTTCCAGTTTTGGTTTTTGCAACTTAATAATCGAAATTTTGGTTTCGGTTTGAAAATTTGGTCAGCTTCAATTTCGGTTTTGGATTAAAACTAATTTTAGTTATTCACTACCCCGTATCAAGGGCAAATCACGGAGAAAGTAACTGGAGTTCATTTTAGAATCTCTTTACAACTTATATTATATTAACCCAACTTATATTATATTAACCCTTTCTAATTATTAATGTAGTATGTTCTTGGAATGCGAAATCGGCGGTCACATCAGATTACATATTCGTAGGAAAAAAGTTTATTATAACTTTTTAATGAAAATCAATATTTTGAAATTTTTTTTTTAAGTTGGAGTTAAAATTTTGTTTTTACATGCTGCATTGCGGTTTTATATTTGTTGTTAGTGGTTAAATATTACTTTTTTGTTTTGAACCTAGTTTTAAAATAACACTCACAAAGTTTATTGAAAAATAATATCAGTTCAGTTTTAAATAACAATATTTTAACTTGGCTCATTTTATTCTCTTAAAGTTCTAACCAGAGCTGATAAATGCAGGAAATATGTATGTTTTCTGTGCTTACAAAAAGACAACAGAAAGATGAGGGATTTTTAGTTTGAACGTAGACAAAAAGATTTTGGTTATCAAATTAATTTTAATAACCCTTGAGTGCTTACTGAAGTTTATAAAAAGGACGTTATGGCTCTTAGAAGAAAATTATCAGGTAAAGATGCTGATCTCTAAATCTTTCTCTACAAATCTTCCTCAACAAACCTCCCTTCTACCAGTAAGCACTACACAAATGGTTCATTTAAAAAAATAATCAGCAGTTAAAAAATGATGTTTAACATGCTTTTTTTTTAACAACCCTGAGTCAAAAAGGTTTTTGGTATATTTTAAAGACAAGATCGGATGGAGGTGGTGATTTCTTGAATGTTTCTAAAAGGTTTATTTTTATTTATTTACTTAAAACTTTATTTATAGTTGATTGCATACAGTAGTTTAAAAAATAAACTAACTAAAATAATTAAGTACATGGTTTTATTGACAAGGAAATTTCAGAGCGAGGTGGCTTTATATCTTATGGCCATGCTCTTTGTTCCATTCCAGTTAAACAGGTTAACACATTGTTAAACATTCAAATCACTTCAGCTTCTGTTGCTAAAGTCATATCTCAATTAAACTTGTTTTCCTGTTTGCCGGAAATGACATATGTGGTTCCAGTTTTTAAAAACTCTGGAGAACATTCTAATCTCTCCAACTATCTTCCGGTAGTCTTCTATCTGTCATTAGCAAAGTCTTTAAGTATTTTATCAACAAATTTCTAACAACCCATCTTGAGTCAAATAACGTACTGTAAGATAATCAATATGGTGTATCTAGGAAAGTTTTTGAGATTTTTAAATCTTTTCTTTCCAGCCGCTTTATCATAATTGTTCTCAAAGGTTAATACTCTTATTCTTTTCTAGTAACTTCTGGGGTACTAAGGTTCTATTTTTGGTCCTGTTTTGTTTTTTATCTACGTTATTAATCTTCTTGACAATTTTACATCTAAAGCGGCTCTTTTTGCTGCTTAAATTTTTACTTCTGTCTTGAGGAAAAGTGTTTTTTTTTTGATCGCATAGAACAGGCAGCCAATCTTAAATCTGATCTCACCTCTGTAACAGATTGGGGTTTGCAGAAGCTCGTGAATTTTAACTCCAACAAAACTTAGTTACAGGGTTATTCATTCTTATATGCGCGTCTATTCATTTTTATATGCGTCTTTATTCATTCTTATATGCGCATTTATTCATTTTTATATGCGCCTTTATTCATTCTTATATGCGCATTTATTCATTTTTATATGCGTCTTTATTCATTTTTATATGCGCATTTATTCATTTTTATATGCGCGTTTATTCATTCTTATATGCGCCTTTATTCATTCTTATATGCGTTTTACAAAAGCAATTGTAAAAAAGCAAATTGAACAAAAAAAAATCATTTAAGCAATTTGTTTTGAAAAAATAGTTTATTTTTTCAAAACAAACTTTTCTTATTTCCAGGTAAACGAGGTTAAAAATACTTAAAACGAAGACCTTTTAAATTCGACGATGGTTTATTTAACTTAGTATTAGTTCTTTGTAATTTTATTATTAAATTTCTTGATTGATTAAGTTATTATTTATCTAATTATTCATTTATCTCGATTTAAATTTACTTATTTATAATTATTATTAATATCAAATTATACATCCCTATGTTTGTATATGCGTCAACCACCCATAAAATCTCTAATATAATTTAATATAAACGATAAATACGCTTTTAAATTTTTATATAGACATATTTAAAATATAAATTAGGTTGTTTTCATTGATATTTATTTAAGAAATGGTTGCCGATCCAGCGCTTGATTTATATAACTACGCATATGGTTGTAAAATGGAACTATATTAAACTCTGTAGTATCCATAATATTTTTAAGTTTCCTGATTACCTCATCCGTATTTTGAGGCCTTTCTCCCTGTTTGTAAGTATGTTTTAAAGAAGAAAAAAATTCTTCTATTGGATTAAGCTGTGGCGTGTAAGCTGGCAGATACTTAATAGCTATACCATGAGAGGCTAGTGTTTGCCTAACAGAAAGACTCCAGTGGAATTTACAATTGTCCATAACAAGCACCGGCGCTTCCACATTTGCATTCCTAATCGCTGGTGCCATCATTGTAGTTATGAAAGTACAAAATAAATCTGCATTCCAGCCTCCAGTTTTTGTTTCATAAGCAAGCACTCCCATTGTTGAAACAGCACAAATTAAACTAACATTCTTGCCACGATTTGCAGGCGACTGTAAAATTGCTGGCGCACCTCTTAGCGAATAACCATATGTGCTGTTAGTGTGCACATTAAATCAGTTTCATCCAAATAAATAAGTTTTTCATCTGAAATTCCGTTAACTTCGCTTGCAAATGCATAACGTGCATTAATAATTCGTGTTGAATTTCGTTCTTCTGGCACATGCACAACATGTTTTCTTGATAAATCCGAGCGTTTGAGTTTTCTTGAAATAGTAGGCTGAGACATGTTGAAGCCTGCTGCAGAAAGATTTTCTTTTATTGCTTCTTGCGTGCAAAGATTGTTTTCTTGTACGCATAATTCGATAATATTTTTTATTTGAGCGTTTATAGGTCTTTCACCTCGTTTTTTATCAGAAGACGACTTGAATGCAGTCATGTCGTCGAATTCTCCTCTGTTTAACTTAACGACAAGATTTTGAACTGTGCGCTTCGATAAATTAAGAGAAATGGAAATGCTTGTTGTAGATTGATTTCTTTCAACTAAATGCTTAAGCATTTCAATGTGCTCTTTTGTAACATTTTTCCTTGTTTTACGATTATTTTCTATTCCATCCATAGGGTAAAAATTTGGTATTAATAATTTTAAACAATTAAATAATAAATCTAGAAAAATAAATAATTAGCTAAAAAAAATAACTTAATCAATCAAGAAATTTAATACAATAATACAATTTAATACAATGTAATAAAATTAAACTAAGAACTAATACTAAATTAAATAAACCATCATCAAATGTAAAAAGTCTTCGTCTTCAGTATTTTTAAACTCGTTTACCAGGAAATAAGAAAAATTTGCTTTGAAATAATAAACTGCTTTTTCAATGATTTTATTAAACGATTTTTTTTGGTTCAAATTGCTTTTTTACAATTGCTTTTGTAAACAACATAAAAATGAATAAATGCGCATATAAGAATGAATAAATGCGCATATAAGAATGAATAAAGGCGCATATAAAAATGAATAAATGCGCATATAAAAATGAATAAAGACGCATATAAAAATGAATAAATGCGCATATAAGAATGAATAAAGGCGCATATAAAAATGAATAAATGCGCATATAAGAATGAATAAAGGCGCATATAAAAATGAATAGACGCGCATATAAGAATGAATAACCCTGTAATTACTGCAAAAAGCAAGCAATACTATCAAAATTTTTATATTAATGAGTGGCAACCATCTTTTTGAGCCCTTCTTTTTTGGATTACTGTTCACTTCTGACAGATGCTAAGTTAGCATCTGCTAAGGTTGCTTCTTTTTATTGTGCTTGTCATTTTCTTACTTCTGATTCTATTCTCTATCTCTACAAATCTTTTATTCTCCCCTGTATGAAATACTGTTGTCATATTTGGGCTGGTTCTTA